TAAAAAAATTAGCCAGGTGTGGTGGCGAACGCCTGTAATCCCAGCTCCTCGGGAGGCTGACGAAGGAGAATCGCTTGAACCCGGGAGGTAGAGGTTGCAGTGACCCAAGATTGTGCCACTGTACTCCAGACTGCGTGACAGGAGCGAGACTCCATCTCAAAAAACAAAACAAAACAAAAATCTAACTAGCCCCAAACAGTGCTCCCGATATTGTCCTAATCCTGTGACTCCTTCAAAATTCCCCACTGCAGTGAATGAATAGTAACTCCATCTTTCCAGCTGCTCAGCCCTAAAACCTTGGGAGTTATCCTTATCTCTTTTCCACACCCTACATTTGACAGCAAACACTCGTATCTTCAAAATATATGCCCAAGCTGACTGCTTCTACCACCTCCTCTGTCATCACCTAGGTCCAGGTTTCTATCATGTCTCCCATGGATTAACCTCCTAGCTGCGCTTCTGACCTTGACCCCATCAGTCTATTCTCAATGCATCTGGAGTAAGACCCATCACACTTAAATGAAACCGTGTTATTTCTCTGCTCAGAAGCCCCCAATACCATCCCATCTCCCACTCAAAGTAAGAGCCAAAATCTCCATCGTGACACAGAAGGCCCCTGGGGGACCTGACCTCTTTCACCTGCCCTGTCACTCTCCCTCTCTCACTGCTTTAGCCATGCTGGCTCCCTGCTGTTCCTGAACATACCAAGTATGACCCCTGCTGAGGGCCTTTGCATTGCTCTTCTCTCTGCTGAGTTCTCACCCTCCTCCCCTCACCCCAGACAGAACAAGGCTCAATCTCCTCCCCACTCCTTCAGGGTTTTATTCAGATGTCACTTTATCATTGAGACCTTCCCTGATCACCCTATGTAAATTGCCACCTCCCCCTTTTTTTCCTTATCCTCGTTTTGCCTCCTTAGCACTTCTCACTGTCTAACAAATATCTATTAGTTATTCATTGTCTCCCACTAAGATGTAAGCTTCCTAAAGGCAGGGACTTCTCTGCGTTACTCACTGATGTATCCCAGTCCCTGGCACATGGTAGGTGCTTAACAATCTATGTTTGTTGAATAAGTGAATGAGTAAATCCTGGAGGCTTTACAGCACGAGAGCCTAAAGGGAGTGTAGGAACCAAAGTAGAAAAGCTGCAGATTTGCATACCCTGGCACTAGGTCAGGATCCACTCCACAGCTGACCCAGACCCTGATGGGTTTTAGCTAATGGAACCCTCAACCCCACCAGTCACCTCACATGTGGGCCAGTGCAGTCCAGTCCTGCTCCTGGCCAAAAACTTCAAAGCGCACAACTCTCATCACCACATACCAGGTACTACTGCATTTCAATGCTTCTCTCAACTGACATGCATTATCAATGCTTCTCTCAATTGACAAGCATTGGCGGAGCCAGGATTGCACCACTGCACTCCAGCCTGGAACTCCATCTCAAAAAAAAAACAAAACAAAAACAAAGCAGCAACAACAACAACAACAAACATAGCCGGGGGAGTGGTTCATGCCTGTAATCCCAGCACTTTGGGAGGCTGAGGCGGGCAGATCATGAGGTCAAGAGTTGGAGATCATCCTGGCCAACCCAGTGAAACCCTATCTCTTCTAAAAATACAAAATTAGCTGGGCGTGGTGGCGCATGCCTATAGTCCCAGCTACTTGGGAGGCTGAGACAGGAGAATCGCTTGAACCCGGGAGGCGGAAGTTGCAATGAGCCAAGATCGCGCCATTGCACTTCAGCCTGGCAACAGAGCGAGACTCTGTCTCAAAAAAAAAAAGATAATGAAGGCACTCGAATTTGGATACCACCTGTCTGTCTCCACCCTTAATTCTTCTTTCCAAAACGTGACTATGTCATTTGCTAGTTTGCATCCTGACTGGGTCATATCCCATTGTACTGGAAGGGACTCTGGAAATGTGTGGGGGTGGGGACAGCATAAAGAGAACCTGATCAAAGCAGGCCCAAGAAACAGCATCAAGTTTTTTTGTCAAAGAATACTGGGCCTCAGAATTCTTAGAGAACAGGAGGAAAACAAGGCAAGATACACTTTTTCCCCTAAAGAATCTCATTATGTGCTTTGGCACATTTATTTGTGAGTAACTCCCCACACTTATCCTGGGCCAGGATCAGCTTTTTGTTTGTTTGTTTGTTTGTTTTGAGAGTCTTGCTCTGTCGCCCAGGCTGGGGTACAGTGGTGCACTCTCGGCTCACTGCAATCTCTGCCTCCTGGGTTCAAGTGATTCCCGTGCCTCAGCCTCCAGAATAGCTGGGACTACAGGTGTGTGCCACTACATGTGGCTAATTTTTGTATCTTTAGTAGAGATGGGGTTTTGCCATGTTAGCCAGGCTGGTCTCGAACTCCTGACCTTAAGTGATCTGCCTGCCTCAGCCTCCCAAAGTGCTGGGATTACAGGCATGATTACCAAGCCCAGCCCCAGGCCAGAATCAGCTTCTGAAATGAGTGGTGATTTCATTTCCCCTGAGAAGACAGGGCTGGCTTACCATTTACTCTTTTGGAGGCTGGGAAATGTCTTGGTTTGTTTTCTTCTAGGCTGATCTAAGAAGATTCCTAATTATCAACTGGGAGCAGAAATAGTCCACTTCCAATTACATGGCCCTGCCTGCTCACTCTTACTTCCTATTCACACTCTCTTGGAGGCCACTTTGTGATTCTACCAAATCCTGTAGGAGAGGTGACAACCCTAAAGAGAAGGCTCTAGAAAGATGACATTTGGAAATGTGTAAGTTAGTGTCTGCTGGCTCCTCCTGAGCCACTTCTACTCTGTGATTGAGAGGAAAGGCCACCTAACTGCCTAAATCACCACACAGGGACAAACTGGTATCTAAGAGCACTCAGCAGCAAAAACAAGTAAGCTAAGCCTTTGCACTGCAATGTGGCAAGGCTTCTGGCTAGGTATAGCAAGCAATTCTGATGTGGAGACAAACAGCAGCAACGGGAATGAAATGCCAATGAAGGATTCCAACCATTGGGTCTGCAAGCATGCTTGTCCTGTGACACAAACAGCCTAGACATCTCAGCACTGCTTGGAGCTGCTCATTGGAGGAGCCTGAGAAACATCAGCCCTTTCACAACCCCTTGCTCCTGAGCAGAGCTCATCTCCCAAGAGCAAATCAGCCTGCAGCCCAGTTGGATGAGAAGCACAGTGTTCCCCTGTGCCAGTGGCAGCCTCAGAGCATCCTGAAAGAGCGCTTCCTAGACACACAGTGGAAGCCATGACTTCCCCTAAGCTGCCAGTGCTGCTTCTGAACTCACGTGGAGGTTCTTTTTTCAGTGTCCCCAGAGGCAGTAGAAAAATCCGTTTTCCATTTTGGAATCTATCAAGTAGGACAAATCTGCCACCTGGGAGCATCTCCTCAAGGGCAATCTCTATGCCCTTTCCCACATAGCCTGACAATACCCTCGAGTTAGAAATATCCCTTGTTGGCTAGGCACAGTGGCTCATGCCTGTAATCCCAGCACTTTGGGAGGCTGAGGTGGGAGGATTACTTGAGGCCAGGAGTTTGAGACCAGCCTGGCATAGAGAGACTATGCCTCTATTATTTTTAAAAAAGAAATGTCCCATATTTTTACCCTCTTCACTCATCTTTCCACCTTGCTCCAATAGATTGCTGACAGAAAAGTGAGATCTCCTCCACCCCGAGGTCTCCTAAGAGAATGCTGCTAGTCAAAAAAAGATCTGCTGATTATTGAGGAAGAGCATCTTTAAAAAGACACTCAACTACATTTCAGAAAGATAAAGATCTAAGTGTTGGCTCTATGAGGGAAGAAATAAAGAGAAAGAACTTTTTTTCCTCCTACAACAGGTCTAGACAATGTCATACAAGGAGTTGCAAGCATATCCAAAACAAAAGCAAGGCAAAAACAAGCAAAAAAGCAACAAATGCATTCCAAAATGATCTCCATTTCTCAGCCCAGAAATGTACTGGATACTGGTTTAGTTCAGCCTGTAGGTGGTGGGAAGAAATTCACAAATCCAAGTCAGTTGCAAAAAGGGAATACTCCAGACATATCACCCAATGAACCTGTAAGAAAGTATACGAGCTTCTCTGAACAGATTTTACTCCAGGTTTGCAGCCCACAAGGTTTAAGATCGGGCCATGAGGTTAAATCTGGTAAACTCAGAAATGTTCATGCTACTGCATCCCTAAACTTTGTAATTCTCTGTGTACCCTTTAAAGCAGTGTTTCTCTGCATCTTTTATTCCATAGCCATTGTCCACCTGATCCAAAATATCCTAAATTTTTCTATGTTTGGAAGCAGGGTTTCCAATTTTTGTGTATACAGAAAAGGGGTGTGTGTGAAAAAAATAAGTATTAGAAAAAGAACACGTTACGTATATATCACAGAAATGAGTGGGCAAGATTTAGAAGATTGCTGAAACAAAGCCAATACTAAGGTCTACTAGTTGGTTGCAATGAGTTTAAAATGTCTTCAGAAGGGCCCTGGTTGGGCAATACTATACTTGCTGACAGCAAGCTTGGGAACTGACACAGACCTATAGCAAAGGACTGTCCAACTTCTCCAAAAAGCTGGTATTAACCACCAGAAGAAATAAGAAGTTCAAGGCCAAAATATCCAAATGAACCAACCACTCTACTTGCTGAAATGCCATAAAGCTTCTTTACCCCAGACATTTACCCAAATCTTATAATTTCTTTTCTCCTCTCTGACAGGCCTCCACAGGCCCAAACTTTAATAGAATCTGAGAGAAAAAAGTGGCCAGTCCATCTGCTGTCCAGAGTGATGCCAAACTCTTTCTCCTGGAACCAGTTCTACCTGTTGGGCAGTCAGATGACGGTCCGATTATTAACAAACTCTACTTGGGTCTCCTTGGTAGAGTTTGTGGCTTCAGCAGCCTAGTTCAGGGGGGTTCATAATTATGTCAGACTAGCTTTTTTTCTTGTAGTTGCTTTTAACCAAAGAGGTTAAGCCTCTGTACAACCAAGAGGAAGAACTAGAATTAGAAAACTTACCAATCGTCCCAGCCAATGATAATCCATTTCCAACAGGTATTAACGCCTGTTAGAAGCCACTGGAACACTGACATCATCAGCCCAATTGATAGGTTGTCTGATAGATTCCCCCCCTTCATCGCACACAAGAATTTAAAACAAAACAAGACACTGCAGTTATATTCATTATTGCAGACAATGGGTTTCTTTGTGTTAGTAATTGAAATTACTGCTGTGCTCTGGACTCCATTATTCCCTTTGCAGCCTGTGAGCTGGCCAACACTCTAAACTTTCGAGCCCTAAAAATTGTATCATCCAGAACACCAACTCGGTACAGTCCTCCAATGTGAAACTGAATGCCTTCTGGGGTACAGCATGAAACTGTTTTAGACAGTGCAGGCCAGTGCACCTTGAAACAGTGTCCTTCCAACTGTAATGAAATCTGTAAACGGGAAACTTGGGCTAATTCATTGTTTAAAGCAGATCTACTGGCTCATACCTTTCTCTAGGAAACAATAAGTGAACAAGAAGTAACCTCAGAGGAAGAAAGAACTTTGGGAGAATGCACTGAGAAAGGCCAGACTGAGTCCCCTTGGATGAAGTTAATTAAGAAACAAACATGACAGGATATTGCAATCAAAACCAAGGAATGCAGTGAGGATAGGTTTCTCAGTTGCCCAGAGAAGACATAGTTCCTTTTGAACTAAAATTAGAAAGCCGCTGGGAAGGAAACCTAAGAAGCATGGGTAAGAGGCTGAAAACTGTAAGTCAGCAATGGGGATGCAGGTGGGTGGAGGAAGAAAGCAAGTATCTATTTTATTTCTTCTGTAATTCCTTAAGATTGTTTGCGCCTGAGCTTTGGGACTGCAGTAGTCTTCCCCCACGGGGCGTCAGGTAACAGGCTGGGAGCTCTGGCAAGAAGTTCTCAAACTTCTCACAATTCTGCTAAGAGCTTGCATCTAGCTGGAGGATCAATGATCCAAGTGAAAACATTAAAGGAAGGTTTTTGCCCACTCCCCAGTGAGAGATCATCTGCCCAGAGAGTGCCCTCGTGTCCTGACACCATCGCCCGACTGGGATACATCAGTAACCGGGCTGTCGTCGATGCCGAGCAGTGCCCATCTGGTTGGCAGCGTCCGGATCTCAAGCGTTCCCTCGCCCCTCTGTACTTCGGGGAGCCCTGAATCGCTGGTGGGCATCTACAGTTAAGAGTGCAGGAAGGCCTCTCAGACACGGGGCGAACACGAGGGCTGTTGGCTGCCTCCTCGGAGCCGACCCAGGCATAGTCCGCCCAGGCAGGAGAGCGGCGCTGAGGTGGGTCGGCACCCGGCTGAGAGGTGCCAGGCCACCCCGGTGCCCGCTCCTCTCGCCGGCCCCCGGAAGCGCCGCCCTCCCGTCCGGCGGGCTCCGAGGGGGCGGGGAGTCGAACGCCCCCTTCCGGGTGCCTCCGCCCGGCTGGCCAGCCCCGCTCCTCCTCCGGGCGGGAATCCTCCCTCCCCCGCCCCTCCCGAAGCCGGGCCCCGGCGCCAGGCCCGGCCCCAGGGGGGAACCCCCGGCCTCGGCTCCCTCTCCCCGCGGCCTCTGCCCGTCTTCCCGACCCTTGGGGGCCGGGAAGACCCCGCCGGCAGCGGCCGGGACCCACCGCTCATTACGACATCTTCCTCCCTGGCCTCCGCCGCCTCCGCCGCCACCGAGAGCCTGACACCGCCCGCCAAGCACCCGCCAATCCCGGAGCCCGCCACCGCCCGAGCGACGGCAGCCTTCACCAATAAGGGCTTGGAACATTGGGGACCGACAGCACTATTAACCAATCAACCAGAGGCGTCTAGAGCGACGTTGATTTGACCAATAGGTCTGTGCAATGTCACTGATGGACGGTAGACCGCACCAACCGAAAACCAATTGAATAATGAATGACATGTTTATCAGCCAATTGGAGGGAGGCAAAGTCCCGCCTACTGGGTGGTTGATGGACAGCGACAGGAAGCTGGGAGGGGAGGGGCTTAGTCGAAGAGTGCTTTTGTATTGGTCATGGTTGACCTTCCACCCACCTCTAACCCAGAGGATGAGTGATAGATCTGCCCTGAAGCCAATCAGAAGTCCTTAGGGTGAGGCCCACAAATGCCCCAGAAATAGCATATACATTGTACCCTAAGTCCAGTCTCGCTCAGGTGTGGCAGGAGCTTTTACCTGCTCTTCGGCAGTAGCCGGCTGCCACTCAACCCCATGCCTGGTGAGTGGAAAGCCATCAACCTTTTACTTAGTCCCTCGCTCGTTGTCGCCTCGGGAGGGGCGACTTTGTACAGTGAGGCACTGGGGTCCGGCACCATAGTCAGAGTTGGGGTTGTTTACGCGACACTTCTGAAGGGATTTTCACAATCGGTTAAGCCCCCGTTAATCTTCACATGGTTATTGCGGCGACCCCCATAGCCCACGGTCCCAAACGTGTGCATCTGAATCATCCGAAGCTCTTTCTAAAGGCAGGTTCCCCGGGCCGCCTCTCCTAATCCGACTCGGTACTTCACGGGGCGTGCCTAGAATCTGCATTTTAGCAAGGGCCTGGCATGGACAGAGTTGCACGCTTGAGTTTGAGAAGTACTGCTTGGCCTCTGCCCCACTTACCCTTATCTTCTTGAGATGAGGTAAAGCACTTGGTAGGCACTATCTGGATAGGTTTATCTTTGCTCCCAAGTCTCTTCCGAGAACTTGGGAAGGCTGCCTAGCTTAGTGAGGGAATCCATTCTGGCTTCAGACCAGTCTGGGTTTGAAACCTACACATCCTACTAACTTAGGCAGGGTACCGAAACTCCCTGAGCCTCGTGTCCTCATCAGTAAAACGAGGTTAATCACACCTACACCTTAGCGCAATGGCTTTAAAAAACAAAACAAAACAAAACATAGCCCATCAAGAGAAATACATTTTGCATGCTGACCAGTACACTTCTGTTTGAGAGTGTCACAAAGTTTCCGAAAACAATGCTTACTACTTGTGATACACTGATAGTTTCTATGCCTATCCTATCTTATTCTCGTTCTTGTTGATCATGACTGGCAATTTGAAAAACACTGCTAGGAAAGGTTGGTTGATAATACAAAATGCGGAGCAGAATTCCGGGTACACAGTAATTGCTGAAAAAATGTTAATAGCCTCTTCCAATCTACTCCTCTCAGTGTTAGCCTTTGAAAAACAAGACTTTAGACGATAACACTCCTCTAGTAAAGATCCTTCATGGGATCCGTATCTCCTGGATAAAGCCCAAACTTCTTTCTAGGCAAATTCCTCCCACTCTTTTTTCTTCTTAACCTCAGCATCCACCAGAGGACACACTCTTACTGGTGTATCTTTCATGCTTTATCTCCTCCCTGTACCCCCATTCCCTTCCTACAAATCCTACCCTTTTCCCTCCAGGAAAGATTCCAGGTTCCTAAACACGCTTTTTTCCACTAGTTGACTTTCTATCTTACCCTTCCCTTCTGGTAAACCCCTATGCATCCATGGCCAAATGTGGTGGCTCACACCTGTATTCCTAGCGCTTTGGGAAGCCAGAGGCAGGTGGATCGCTTGAACCCAGGATTTCGAGACCCAGCCTGGGCAACATGGCGAAATCCTGTCTCTACAAAAAAGCCGCATGGGCGGTGCACACTTGTAGTTCTAGCTACCTGGGAAGCTGAGGTGGGTGGATCACTTGAGCCTAGGAGTTTGGACTTAAAATGAGCTATGATCACACCACTGCACCCCAGCCTGGGTGACAGAGCGAGACCCTGTCTCTCAGAAAAATAGATAAACTCCTATGCATGCTTCAAGACTCTGCTGTAAGTCTGCATACCTCACTCCTGCCTAGCTATAGCTTCTTCCTCCTCTGCGCTGCCCTGGCACATGCAAAAGGGCTTCTCTCTCACACACTATTTCCACACTTTTATTCTCACTTCTTGCTCTCTTGCTAGACTGAGCTGTGGTAGAAGGATTGAGGCCAGCATAGAGGAGGATCAGCAGGAAATGTAAGCTGAGTTAAAGAATGAATATTTGCATACAATGACATCTGCATGACTTGTTTATATAGTCCATACATTCTGTTCCCAGGCCATTTTTCAAGTTTAGATTGCTTCACTGTCAAACCAAGGACTCCACCCAGGTTCCATGACTCACCTGTATTAGGGTGCAGGGATTTGGGGGGGAGGTAGGTGGGGTTGAATATCCTGCTGGGCCACTGTCAAACCTCTTCTGGGAGAAAAACTGGGGGTAACTATGCTTCTAACCTAGAGGCCCCATCTTGAAGACCGCAGAGGTGAAAAAAAAAAAAAAGTGTGCACACACGGGGCGGAGGACAGGGCGTGAAAACTTGGAAGAATTCTGCAGTCGTTTTGAATTATTTGATTGGTTTTGCCCTTTTAAAGGTCACCTTATCTTTTGTTTGTTTTTGTTTTTGTTTTGTTTCTAGGCTGTCTGACTCTTCTTACTAGAGACACAGCCAAAGAAGGGGAGGACCCTTTGGGTTTTTTTTTTGTTTTTTTTTTCTTTCTTTCTTTCTTTTTTTTTTTCTGGAGATGGAGTCTTGCTCTGTCACCCAGGCTGCAGTGCTGTGGTGCGATCTCAGCTCACTGCAACCTCCGCCTCCCAGGTTCAAGCGATTCTCCTGCCTCAGCCTCCTGAGTAGCTGGGACTACAGGCGTGCGCCACCAAGCC